GATAGATCGATAGGTAGATAGATAGATAGATGGATAGATAGATCGATCGATAGATAGATAGATAGATAGATAGATAGATAGATAGATAGATAGGGAGAGAGAAAGACGCAGAGAGAGAGAGAGAGAGAGAGAGAGAGAGGGAGAGAGAGGGAGAGAGAGAGAGAGAGAGAGAGGGAGAGCGAGCGAGCGAGCGAGCGAGCGAGCGAGAGCGAGAGAGCGAGGGAGACTCAGAGCCTCAGCCACCTTGCGGCCCATCAGTTCTCTCTGCCATCCATGCATCACAACAACAAACCTCCCCTATAGTTTCCTATCTTTGAAACTTCCACCGCCGCCTTGTGCGGTCCTATTGGTAGCTTCGTCGCAAGATACAATCTTTAGAGAGGAGAGTGGCACCAGGAATGCAATCCCAGCAACTTGACTGGTCCTTTCATTTCTTGTGGCGCCCTTGGTACAAGTGAAACATGCAAAACATTGCAATTTGGCTCCCGTCGTTTTGGACCCTGTGCACATTCGTGAGGTTTGCCGCATAAAGCAACTTGGCTCCTGAAATCTTGATGTTTTCTTCCACAACCATCAGAAATTGCAGAATTGGCTCATACGAAATTGTTGGACGTGGTTTCAAGTGACCCTGTCTCTGGTCAGGTCTCAGACCCCCTGACAATGTTTGCAAGCGAACCGGTCTTAGGGTCAGAAGTTGACGCAGACTTTTCCTTCTGCGGACTCCTAGCAGAACTGATTGTGGGAACGCAGACGCTGAGGACTTTGTCGACTCCTTACTGGATTTGATGAATTCTGAGCAGGCGAATCTGGTGGTGAGTCGGGTGAGTCGGGTGAGTCGGGTGAGTCGGGTGAGTCGGGTGAGTCGTAGCGGGACCCATTCAGTTGGATACCTTCCGTTTCCCAAAGCTATGCATTCTGTCATGCGTTCTATTCGCTCCTTTTCATATGTAAGTCCCTTTTTGATATCAGAAGATTCTGCAAGCGATGCTGAACTGAAATTCTTGCACCCATGATTCCATTGACTTGCAATTGCAACACTTCTCTGAGGTTGGTCTGCACGATTTATACAGCAGCGGTTGCCTTGAGGGTGTGCTGCTGGGCTGAACTTGGAAGAACAATTGCACCAGGCCCATTTTCGATTACCCACGTTGCTGTGACCTGCATTGTGCTGAGAATCAACATACTCGCGGTCTTTGCTCGCCCGTTCCTGCACACAGCACGAGGGCAGTGGGCTGTCAGAAGCCTGGACAGGAACTTTGTGAACATGTGCAGCAAAGCTCTTTAACTTCTTGTAAATTCCACCGGAAGAGTTTAACAAGTTTAATATATTAATATCGGTATATTTGGGTCAAAATGCTGGATGGGGGCTTTGAACATACTTTTCTACCAGTTGCATAGACAATCTAAGTATCAGTTTGTATTGGCCAATTTGCCTTGGAAGGCCATTTTGAAGAGTTTCCATAGATTCGCTCTGAAACTGCCAATTTCAATGGAAAACGATTCAGGCGCGAATGTCCTTTGACCTGGCATCTGCAGGCTGCTGGCCAGTCTTGGGTTTTAACCTCAAAGCGTTCCATTCACGACTGCCTCGATTTTCCTGTCCCGTCAGCGACGTGAACGATTTGGAAATGTTGGAAGTGAACTTCTCACTGCGTTCATTTAGCCATTTTGTGTGCTCAAGCTTGCCAACATGCCGGGACGATTTGGGCCGCCGGTCTCTGGTTCCTTTCACTCGGGGGGCATGGTGTCAAGCTTTGTGAGCATTGGGGCATCACCGACATCACCCCCAGAGGTGTATCAAAGTTGTGAAATGCTCAGCTCACCGGTGCAAACTCCGTCAATACGACCCAAGACAGGTGTTGCCATGCAGCTTGGTGAGGTTGGGAGTTCATCGGCACGGGTGACCAGAGCTTTGATGGAACTTTTGGATGATTTGCTAGCTCTTGCAGGAGATGTTTTGCTTTTGTTGGCGGCTGTGATAGAAGCATCGCTTCAATGCATCAGTACATGCCCGATGGTCGAACGTTTCCAAGACAGACCATTACATGAACCCGTGATTGTCGCAGTTGTGCTCGTTATGATGAGTACCTTGTACTTCGGCATGTTCTTGTGCTGCATGCGTAACCCACATGCCTGGCGCTCGAGATGGTGGACTCTTGTCATCTTTCACATATGCTTTTTTCTCTCATTGATCTCTTACTGCAGAGGAGTCCTGACAAGCCCTGGTTGCATTCCAGACTCATGGCAAGTTGGAGTCGCAACAGAAGACCAGGTCAGAAAGTTGGTCAAAGAACGAAAGCGATCAGGAGAGCTTCGTCTTTGCAGCAAAGAAATGAAGTACAAGCCAGACCGAGCACATTATTGCTCGAGTATTCAGAGCAATGTTCTGCGCATGGATCATTATTGCCCATGGATGAACAATTGCATTGGTCATTTCAACTACAAGTTTTTCCTGCAATTTCTTGCATACACAGTTGTGTCAGCCAACATGGCATGTTTTGTTATGTTGAATTCCGTCTACGACTCAGTATTTGTGCCTGGCACAACAGTAACTATCCTTGGGTGCGCTGGCCTGGCTGGATTGCTTGCTGCGGTACTGACTCCCTTCTTCGTCTTTCACCTGTGGATGCTGTCCAAGAATTTGACCACTATAGAGTTCTGTGAAAAGTTGGAACTGGGAAGCTACATCTCGCCCTATGACATGGGAGTTTGGGCCAACCTACGAAGTGTTCTGGGAGGAAATGTCATGCTTTGGTTTCTGCCAGTCCACTCCACACCAGGAGATGGAATAACATTTCAAAGAGTCGATTTCCGGCCAAAATGATTCGCGCGAAGCTAGAACTTGTCAGTTGTAGATTGAGAATTTTGCACGGGCCGAATTTGCCAAAATGCCAGACACATTGACAATGAACATGGCGAATGAGTGTCTGATCGGTAGCAGATAGGGAATCCACACCTATGCATGATGGCGGGAAAAGGCAGACTGATCCAGTTCAGGTGTCTTGTTCTGCAAGCGAGTGATATGACAATTTTGTTTGAACATGTGTGGCCAAGCCTAAGCAATCTATGGGAACTTCCAGAATTGCGCAAGAATCATCCCGTGTCAAGGTCAAAGGACACGACCTGTTTCTGGAAGCCTGGACGCATGGCCAGTGACTTTCCAGGACATTTTTGTCATTGCCTCGGTTTCAAAATGATGCAAATTCATGGAGCTTGACAAGACAATGGCCCCTCCGTGACTTCTCAGTGAATACTCCTATCGCTTCTTTTGTCACAAAAGCCGAAATTAATCGGTTTTACCACTTCTTGTTCCTCGACAGTAGGTATGTACTGTATCATATCATTACAATTATTATCATTGTCATTGTTCAAAAGTTTGGTCAATTCACGTATTTGCATACTCATTTCAATCAAGTATCTATGTTTTTTTGCACCCGGGAAAATGCTTCAGCAGCAAATGAGTTTCCACTTCCAATATTGATTTCCTGTCGAGTCTCACAGTCATAGTGTTCGCATGAAAGTGCTTGGCCTATTTGGGCATCAGTGGAATCAGCAAAAAATGGAGGCATGAAGAATATCTCTCGCAGCAGAAGCAATACACGCGGGGTTTTCCCACCTTTTCTTGTGTTTGTTTGCGGCTTTGGTGTCGCACCGCAAATCAGTTGCCAGTAGTCTTGCAATATGTTCCAGTAACCAGATCCAAGATGACGATTTAAGCTAGCCGGAAGACTTGCCCCAACAAGATTCGGAGCGAACATTTGCGACGCACAGGGATTTCCATCTAGTTTGATTTGGGGTTTTGGCCCGGGGTATTGTCATGGTATTTGTCCTCGCGAACCCCGGATTGATGTGAAAGTCAAAAGTCTTGCATTCGGATCACGTGCAAGTTTGAAAGGCTTTTGCATGAGTGCCAGCTCTTTTTTGCTCGGTTTTTCTTTTTTTACTAGTTGTTCTACCTTGAAAAAAGTTGGAGTGCAATCAAGTACAACTTGTTGAATCAATTTGCAAGTGTCCGAAAAGTTTACAGTACCTACGTACGTCTATTGGCAACCCTTTCCCCACCATGTCCAGGGTAGGTTCGATCTAGTTGTAACATGTAATTTTCACCACATGTTTTAGATTTGAGAGTCATACTTCATTTGATTTGGAAAAAGCAGCCAGCAATGCAGAGTGTGTTGTTGAACTGACGCTACTGAAACTATAACTCCTAGCTGCAAGCCTCGATATTGAATTGGCAACCAGGATCAATTATAGAAGCACGCAGACTTTCACTTTTTGGTGGCTGATTTGCCTGGGAACAGCTTGGCCTTGTACTGGTTCTTCAAGAAATAAACAGATGCAGCAGATGCCGTAAAAAAATATCTTCAATCTACATACTGAAGTAACACGAAGTAACAATGTCGACTGCGAACTGAGAATCTGGCTCTTTCTGGAGAAGCTTGGAGAGACATTGGAGATGAGGTGCTTCAGAGAGGCACAACTCAAGCTGACGGTCGGGCAATCATTCTTTTGACGCAAGGCAGAGGTCCATTTGCCACCCCGGATGTCTATGCCTCCTGCTACCCTTAGCAGGACATGCTGCGAATCAAAAAACTGGTGGCTGAAGCAAGTGCATTGGCTGCACTCCTTAAGGTATTTCTATCAGAACACTTTGCTTTAGTTGTCTTTAGTTTTATCATGCAAATCCGTTGTCAGTGACGATTATCGTCCTCCAGACTTTGTCCGGCAGGATCACGCCAGTCCAGATGGAGGGCTGAGATCTTAAGTCTCCACATGGCTGTTCAAGATCTTACTTAGCAAGGCATCAGTTTCATTTGTATTTGAGGCCTAGCCACCGAGATCAGCAAGATCAGCAAGAGTGTCACTGTCTTGAGTACAGGGTGGTCTCCTCGGATTCTCATCTCTGTTCTGTCCTAACTCTTGCATCTTGCAGCAGATTTGTGCCGTTGGTCGTGACTTCCTGAAGGCACCATGCATCGTACCCGGTTGCCATTGCAGCAATGTGGAACGCAATGCTTCCAGACTACACCATCCGGCTTGAGGCACAAGCACTTGCCATCAAAATAATGGATTGTAATCCTAGCTTCACAAGTTAGGCAAGGCTTTGCAACGCTACTCATCTTTGCAGCTAAGCCAATTTGTGGATTGTCAGAATCATTTCGAGCATTGCAGGATCACTCCTTCGACAACCGCTACTGTAGCCTCTACGGGACTTGTTCGTCTGACGGGCGCTTTGCCTGGTCAGCAGCTAAGCGCTGAGAAAAGACATTTTGAAGACATGACATAATATGACCACGTATGACCCTACCCCATGCCATTGATAGATAATAGTGGAAGTAAGTAAGCAGACCCACCTTCAGTGCAACATGCTACCCCTCTGGAAATCCAAACAAACTTGCACTTCAACGGTACAGGCGGTGCAGGTGCCTTGCATTATCCAGTCGAGGCTAGGAGAACATCTTCGTGGGACTTTGGTGCGGACCTGTGGCGGATTGTACCTCAAAGGCTTCAAGGTGGGATGTTCTTGCGCAGAATGAGAATTGCATTAGCCTGTTCAAAAACCTAACCTTGCACAATCTTGCGCAATCACATTTAGATGAAATATTATGAAATGCAGGTACTAGATTCCAATTTGTTGCAATGAAGTCCAGTGCGCAGCACATTTGTTTTCAGGACATTGAACAACTGGCTGAGCAACTTTTTGATTTGGTGGTCCAAGGTGTGGCAGAGAGACTGTGCTTTTTCGTTTGGTTTCTTGTCCGTGAACGCAGCACTACTCGTATCAAACAAAGTTTAGGAGAGAAACTTCTGTGTTACGGGGATTTGACGGGTCGAGTAGAAAAGAGAAGAGTAGAGAAGAGAAGAGGCGAGCGGGCTGGAGAAGAGGAGAGTAGATAAGAGAAGAGCAGAGAAGAGTAGAGTAGAGTAGGCTAGAGAAGAGAAACGTGGAGAAGAGAGTGGTCCGGTGGTTGCTTTCTGTCGCTTTGTGCAGTCGAATTGTTTCGTCAATGCTGCAGTTGTGCATGATTGTCTCCAATTTTTGGCGTGTCCACCTTTTTTCCTTCCAAAAAATCGATTAGTTTTAATATATTCTTATAAGTTATAAGTTATAAGCACATTGTTCTGTTTTGGCGCCACGATCGATGCGGATCTGAGAGCTGGCATTTCAAGAGATGTCAAGAGGTCGGGATGTCAAGAGAAACAGATGCGGAGAGAAACAGATGTCAAGAGCTGTGAAGAGAAATAGATATCAAGAGAAAGACATGACAAGAACAGAGATTCCAAGAGAAAGAACTTACTAGACAAAGGGACGCGAAGAGATAGAGTTATCCAGAGGAAGATATGTCATGAGAAAGGACAGAAATGACATGAGTAAAAGATGTCCGGACCAAGAGATGCCAAGAGCAAGAGATGTCAACAGAAGAAGAAGAGATACAGATGTCACGAGAAAGAGTTGACGAGAGAAAAACATGTCAAAATAGTAAATGGCAAAAACAGCGCGCAGGCGGATTTGGAAAGACGGCCACGTCGTGTTAACCAACATTGACGGGCACATTAACGCAATTACGTAATACAACGTAATGTTTCTTGTCACTTTATTGCGACGGAGGCCCAGACTCTCCAGCGTCGCGAGCAGATGTTTTGCTGTGTGACCTGCAGTTTCCCGTTTACACCATGTTTAATGTTTTTGTCACATTTTGTCACCATGATTGAGACATACTTTGACCATCTTTCACCATTGCACGATAAACTCAGACAATCTAAGATTTTCTAGTTTGTGCTGGCTGGCCTTTGATCATCGTGATTGGTTTGTGAACTTGCAAGATCCTTCCTGGTGGCCTTTTTGAAGCAGCATCTTGTTCTAATCCTCCGGCACCCCGCAGGTACACACCCTCCGTATTCTTGCCGGCTCTTCATGCCTTTCGTGGAACGGCTTGGGCTGTGCCAATCTGAGAACAAATCCCTAGCAATGAACTTAGCAGTTCCACGCATGTTGAAGAAATTGGAGTTTGAGGAGCATGCCCAAGAAGAAGGATTAAGAACATTCATTGGCTTAGCAGGACAGCTTAGGAACGCATCGTCACCTGGACATGAGGCCCCTATTGGGTTTCTTTGGAGGGACACTAGAGGCCCAAAAACTGTGCAGCCAAGCGAATCCTGATTCATCCCTGTGAAAACAGTTTCATTTGATTCAGATAGCTTGACAACTTGATCCAACACTTGAAGCACAGTTGGAGTATGATTTGAACGCACTCGATCACGATGGGCGCAAGGCTCATGTTCCTGAAGAGGGAATTGAAGCTTGGCTGGAAGACTTTTACATGATGGCCAGGAGCTTGAAGACTCAGATGCTGCATCTTGCACATGTCTGTACAGTCTGTCCTATGTCTTCAATAATTCTTGTGTCGAAGGCCAAAAACCCTTTGGTGCAATTTGCGGCTATCGCTCCTTTCCTAGCAGAATCTGGGCTGCAAACAAAGTCACCAGTTGGGTTCCAGCTTGAGAATAGCCCGCGATTTGGTTCTGACGCGGGAGTGCTAGGAAAAGATGCGATACCAATCCGGCTGCCACCTTAGGCTTGTTGACTTGAAGCAAAGACTTCTGCAGTGTTGCCACGAAAGAGAAGCACTTGAAATCTTGCTCCACAAAGAACATCACGAAGCCTTAGGTGCTGAGATACCAGCTGTGCGCGGCTTTGGATTTCATGTGATAGAGAGTCAACCTCAGTTTTTTGGCCTCATTTGTTTGAAGCCTTTGACTGTCGGACTCATCACATTGGTCTCTCTAGTAGGCCATGTTTGCCAGATTCGACCGCACCCTTTGAGCTCTAAGGCAGGGTGGAACATACATGCCCAGGCTGGTGGTGTCGGATTTTTTGCCACAGTGAGCCGCACAGTTTGAAAGCACAACTAGAAAGGAGATGGTCAGAAGTTCTTGTCTGGAAAGGGAGTAGAAGCTTGGCTGCAGTTCAGAACATCCGTTCGCAGAAGTCATGAAGTCCAGAGGTTCAGACAATGTTCAGACAATGAAACATCGAAGTGGAACATTTACTGTATCATATCGCGTGCTGCACACCAAGGTGAATGCGAGGACAACAAGGAGAACCAAAGCCTGACGGGTTTCTCAAACGGTTTGTTCAGAGTTGGAGGATCAGAACGCCCAAATATTGAAAGATGATAAAGATGGCTTGGTTCAAGGAGGCATTCAGTGAGCTCATTGCTAGCGTCTCAAAGGCGGCAGAAGGTCCAGAAGGCAGCGGAGACTTGAGACTCGTTGGAAGATTTCGGAGTCAACATAGTCAACTAGGAAGTTGTGGAGGTGCTTGGTTCAAAAATAGACATTCAGTTGGAGGCACTCTTCAGTTTGTCCATCTTCATGCATTGCGGAAGGACGGATTTGTGCTTTTTCTCTTTGATCAAACCCAAAGCATCTCTTGTGTGGTACAGACAGAGCATCTAAGCATCGGTCGAGATGTCTCAATACAGTAGCACCTCAAACCGAAGTCTGCGTGTAGGCGGATGGGGCTACTTATTCGAGTATCGCATCTTTCCGAGCGGTGGTCTTTGTGCCATACGAGGCAATGAAGTCGACTTTCCATGTATTTGACATCAATTTCATACACTGATGCAGGTTAATGACGATAATTTTTCTTCCAATGTGCTTCTGGCTGGCCGTATCACTGTGATCCGCTCGGGCAAATTTATTCTTGCCAGTGTCTGTGTCATTGAAGTGAGTTCTGATTGGAGAGCTTTTGTTTGGGCTTTGGCTTTTCCCTTCGTACAGCTTTGGTCCATGGTTTTCCGCAGTGCATTCGGGACAAAGGCTCAACACATTCCTTTAGACTTGAAGTAAATCTGCTGTGTTCATGGAGGTGCTTCTGATGACATTCTACGAGCTCTACCATGTTGCCAGCAGCTTTGAAATGCTTTGGCGAATTGAAACGTGCAGTTCATTCACCACATTCATTTTTGGGCCTTAGATAGTACTACAAGGCCATACCGCTTTTTATTCCCGTGAAGGACGGGAGGTGTTTGTGCTCACCGAAGTGTCTCCTCACGCAAGCATATCAGAGTAGAGCCCAGCAAAATGCAAACTGGAAAGATCTGGAAAGATCTGGAAAGATCTGGAAAGATCTGGAAAGATCTGGAAAGATCTGGAAAGATCTGGAAAGATCTGGAAAGATCTGGAAAGATCTGGAAAGGAGCTTGCAGCTTTCTTCATGTACCGTGGTCCTGTGTGAGGGCCTCGGATACAGCATACTGCAGCATGCTCGATATGCTTGTCTCAAAATTACGAAAAAACCTTGGACTTTGAATAAACCTCGCCCTGGGATAGCATGGAACACCAGGCGGAACATCGTAAACATTTTCTGAGATCATTCATGCGGTCTCAGATAGTCTCAGGACCTTTCCTCACTGCAACATGGTGCGCCATTCTGAGCCTGACAAAGATGCAGGCCTGGCAACATCTATAATCTATATAGTTGATCTACTGGTAGCCAAGCCAGCGCAGTGTGCAGGATATGGTTTGCATCATGGGGAAGCGGGCAAGCCCAGTCAGTCGTTCAGGGAGCTGCGAATTTCGTAGATTGGTACGCTTTTTATGCATCTTTTTGCCATATAAAGGATATAAAGGGCTACGCCCCCTGCCGCCGCCGCCTGCTCGGCGAGCGGGGGGCCCGGAGAGCGAAAAGATGTATAGAGATAGATGCAGTAGATATATATATATAATATTTAATATATATATATATATTATATATAATATATATATATACACACAAACCCTTGCCAAAAACCACACCCTCGGAGGGCCAAAACACCATCACAGTGAAGGACGGACGGGCTCCGTTTCGAGCCGCCTCTCGTGCCCAACGTCGCTTCTGAACCGACAAAAAATAACTAGCTCTGACGCGCTGCTGCTTTCTCTTGCCTCCTCCTCCTCCTTCTTCTTCTTCTTCTCCGTCTTCTTCTCCTGTTTCCGTTATCTCGAACTCTTTGTC